ACGCGGAGGTTGTAACTTTCAGCTACACCAGCAGTGTGGTAACTAATTCAGAACAAGAAGTGCACTACTCAGCCACTTCCATTAACGTGACCTGCAATAAGCAGCAAAGTTCTTGTATTTGAAGCACCAAGCTGGATATTTTTCATATTTCACATGACTGAGATAATGGTTTAGGCTCCCTCCAAACTCAGGAATATACTGGTACACTCAGAGTTAGCATCTGCCTAAGCAGATCTTGAAATATTTTCCTCACAAATAGGATACAGAACATGTCCTAGTCCTGCTACCTCAAAGCAATCATGAAACTCCTATTAAATTTAGCCCTGAATGAAGGAGAAAATACTTCAAAGAACAAAGAAATTCTGAAGAAAATTCTGCAGCAGAGAATCAGCATCACAGGAACTACTGTACTGTGAAATACACACAGCACAACCTAGAGCCAGCCTCTGACAGTGGTTAAACCCCGGTAGTGAATACACAGCCCACAATGTAATATGGGTGGCTTTGCTCCATAAATACCAGGATATTTGCACTTTTCCTAAATCACCCAGCAAGAGATCACAGACTACTGAGCAATAAAAAGTGTGTCTTCGCAAGGTAAATATACAGCCCTTTTCCAGAGCTCCTACACACTGCCCATTCCCAATGGCCATTTGTAATAGCTCCTATGACCACCACGGAAAGACTCTATTGCTCTGAAGGCTTTTTTTTTTTTTTAATTTGAAGTTTACATTTAAACAGGAATTTTTGGATAGTAAATAATGATCAGGTGCAGGTGACTTGGCAAGACAATTTTGAAACAGCATTCTACATGGGAATTTAAAACTGCAAGTGAGAGAAGAATTTATTTTACACTGTTGTGCCTACAGGAACTGCAAGAGCTAGACGTGACATTCAAAATATTTTTTCTGTTCCTGAAGGACCAATATTTCATTGCTTTCTCACAGAAAAGAAGCATTCATCAAAGCTTTTACCTTGTAAAACGTTGCTGATATTAAGAGACTTGATGTCCATCCTGTAAATCTCTATAGAGATTAAATTAAGGAAGATGCTATCCTTTTTGTATGTGGACTTGGATGTTGTCTGCTAAGATGCTTCATTAAAATTACAGACTTCATAAAAAACAGCTCCTCTGCGCTGGGAGAACAGGCACAAATCTTCCCTTTCCAATAGACTCTGAAGGATCCCTGCATATCATGCATATGCTACAATTTCTTTTCAATGGCGTAGTTTAAGGCAAAAATAGCAAAAAATATTCATGGATTCAGTGAAAAAAGAATTTTAGAGAAGATATTTGAAGAACTGTGGTTTTACTTTGACACCCGTAATACCGAAATGCAGCGGCAAAGAATTACATTATTATTGTGAAGAGCAAAGTATGAAATAGTCTGCAGATAGAAGGGAAAGCTACCAGAAAGACCAATTTTGATGGAGGCAAGAAAAACAAGGCTGTGAAAAACTCCAAGTAATTTCAAGTAAAAACAACCTAAGCCACCACAGAATTCAACTGAGTTTTTCTGAGAATGGAGAATTAGGTTCTGAGAGAACACATTATATGCAACCATAACAAAATGTTTTCTGGAAAAAAAAGCCTGCTAGATGTACAAGCATGACACACTCAACAATCACTCATCCTCTAATTCACACGCTCATTTAAGACCTCTTTGAGAAGTGCTGCTAAAAAGGATGAAGAACCCAAAGTGTCTGCTCATTTTCCCGAATTTCAGCAATATCTAAACCAGTTATTCCAAATTATATTTAAATATTAAGTAACTTAATGTGAAAAATCTAACAGCTGCAGTTAGATCAGCCCAGTTTGTGTTATCTTAGTTTGTAACCACTCATGGAGCACGATTCCGGTTCTGGGCTAAGGCTTTCTCACGGTACACAAACACACACACTCATACCACAAACTGCCTCTCCAAAACCAAAATGCTTTTCTATGAGTTGAAAACTAGTGATGATGCCTGTCCAACTAGGAGTCCTCAGTACTTGCTCCTCTTTGCTCACTGTGCATCCTGAATTCAGTTAGCAGCAATGGTTTCTCTTTTACAGCACACAGAGCTAAGATGGCTGAAAGTTTCAGACTTCCCAAGATGTCAGAAAGAAGACTTCCTTCACCTGGGATGATGACTGTGCCCTACTATTGCTGTCACAAACTAATAAGCCAGCTCTGCCTATCACACTTCAAACTTGCGAGCTATTTGTCCCTACAGTGAAGCCTAATTTGCTCTGGAGCTTTAAAGCAGGTTACATTTTCTCCCTTACCTTAGCCAAATTTCCTGCTCCTAATGTATATTTTAGCTTTGAATCAGGTGTAAACAAGATGATGTTCAGATCACTTTCGGGAAACCTATGCTTGAAAGTATGAATTTATGCCCCAAGCACAAAGCATTTTGGCAGGACAATCTGTTGGAGACAGCAACAGCAGACAAGGTGGTATCTTGAATTTTTCCATATGACACAGGCATCTCTAATGACAGAAAGAAGCGCATTAAAGCCAGCAGTTACTTCTTCCAGCAAAGACAGGCTCCTTGCCTCCCAAGAAATCTCACAACAGGGTAACAACTCAAGATACCGTGTCGCAAACCTTCATGGAAAAATACAATTGGAGGGCCTAGATAACTCTTCTCTATTTACAACTCCCATTCCAATAAACGTTTAAGTATTTTATCCTGCTTTGATTTATACCGTTGTGGCTGGTTTTAGCCCACCAAACTACTGATCAATGTATAAAAATGATATTTCTCACCTGAGGGCAGTTACCAAGGCAACAAATAACTCTGAACAGAGTCCTGGGGAATGGTAAACCAAAGGACAAGAAACAATATTGAAAATGCCTGGATTGTAATAAAGCATTAAGACATTTGTGGCAAGACTGATTAATAAGAATGCAGAAACATATCTGAGCCTGTTGGACTATGACTGCTGTTTCAGTGGTAAATCTCACACACTGGCTGGCAAACTGGACTGCCTCATGGACACATCCGTGATCAACAGCCTCTGTTTCAACAGCCAGAACAATCGGGGGTTCTTAGATCCTAGCTGGAGACTAATAACCAGGAAATTTCAGAAAGGAGAATTTATGTTACTTCTCATCTAGCTCAGTAAGTAGCCTGAAACCCACTGAAATAAAACTTTAATTAGAGCAGGCCCTCTGAAGAGATTTGTGAGAGGAACCCAGAAGGCAAATGGATGAGATTAAGAAGAAATATCGTAAATAACAATCAATAGCCGTATTGCAGAAAGAGATACAAGAAACAGTTAAGGAACAGTCTACTCCTAAACTCAGACATGGAAAGAAAAACACGTCAATTGCAGAACAATCATTCCAAAAAGCGAAGCCCTATGCTTCCTTTAAATAAATACCAGCAATTATTTTGAAGGTGAGCACCGACTGAAAGAGAACAGCATACACCTTCAGAAAAAATACAAAAATTCCCTCGTATCGTCATATTTTAAAATCCCTACTTATGGGTTCTGCTGGTTCATATAGGCACACCCATGTCCCCAAGCAGATATAAGAACTGTGCTCCTACCCAGAGGACTCTTCATCAGCAGAGACGTAACTGGACATAAAGCTGCAGGATGCAAGTTGTACCCCCCTTAACAATTCCTATAACACAGTAAAGAAACAAGTATTTTTAAACATCTGCCACAGCAGTATTATTTCTAACAAGGCTGCCTCTTAAAGACTCGGGTCCAAACACAACGCAGGGAAGAACAGTACCTCACGTTATGAAGAGCTCTCAGGAATAGAGCTATGGGGAAGAAAAAAACAAATAAAAATGTGGCAGGTTTATTATGGATAAGCAATGCCAAATCAATACACACAGTTTTATTCGATCTGATGAACTGATCTATAGAAAACCGATAGAAATGAGAGCTAAAGGCAGCAGGAGATAATTTAGCAATTATGGTGATTGCAAGTTCAAAGACCTACGCCTGAAGGGACAGACAGACACAAGCAAATAAATAAATAAATCAATCAGGACACTCAGGAAGTCCGAGCTCGAGCAGACCAGCAGCAAAGCATGCTTCAGGATGCAAATCCCCGGCGAGCACCGTAAACCAGCGAGCTCGCAGCGAAACACGCCCAATGGCCACACTCGAGCGGCACAACACGAGAAAGCTGCAACATCAGAAAAAAAAATGCTCCCTGACAACTTCTGGCGGAGGAGAATGTCTGTGCCTTGGAGGTGAACGCGTCTGGACCGCGATCCCTCAGGAATTTACAGGGGCGAAGGCTCCACGCTTTACTGTAACGCTGCCTCTCTGCTTCCTCCTCATTATAAAAGCCTCCCTATAAAAGCCTGGCGCTGTCATTAACCTTTATCGCCCCTCTACGCGCTTATCGCCCGCTTTACGACCGGTCTCTCCCGCTCTCCCTGCTTTCTTCCTCTTCCTCCCCGCTCCCTCCCAGCACCCCGCACCCCACCCCCCCCAGCAGCCCCCGGCGATGAGGCGCTGCCTCCCCCCAGCCCCGGGAGGGCTGCGGGGAAGGGGCCGCTCCCCGCCTCCGGGGGGCCGCGCTCGTACCTGCAGCGCCCCCGAGGCCCGGAGCCGCCTGAGGCGCTGCCAGCGCCCCGCTGCGCTGCGGCAAGAGGAGGCCTCCGGTGCCGGGCGGCCTGAGGGGAGCAGCGGGAGGAGGAGGAGGAGGAGGAGAGGGAGGAGGAGGAGAGGAGGAGGAGGAGGAGGAGGAGGAGGAAGGCAGCCGTTACCTGCGCGAGGCGGGTCGCGCTGTCGGCGGGCTCCCCGCCGGCCGTGCCCGGCCCGAGCTCCTCCTGGCGGCCGCCGCCCTCACCTGCCCCGGGGGGATCCGCCCGCGCCCCGCTGCTCCCTGCGCCGCCTCAGGCCGGCTCCGCAAGATGGCGGCGCTTCCGGGACCAACCACGCCGCGCCCCAGGCGGGGGGGGGACAGGCGGGGAGGGACGCGGCGGCAGCCCCGCCTCTCGCAGCCTCCTCCCCGCTCCGTTCGCTCCGTTCCCCCCTTTCCTCTCCAGTGAGGTGCGCTCGCCCAGCGGCGGCGCGGAGGATGGGGGGGGTGGCGGCGCGGGCGCTGTTCTACCCGACGCTGGGCTACACCGCCCTGCGCGCCGCCCTGCCCGCCGCCCGCCGGCCCTGGCTGCACCGCATCGACCGCGCCGTGCTGCTCGGAGCCCTGCCGCTGCGGGGCCGCAGCCGGGCGGTGCGTGGGGAGAGGGGGGCTTGGGGAGGGGATGGGGGGGGAACCGGGGCCTGACCGGGCCTAACCGGGCCGCCTGTGCCCGCAGCTGGTGGCTGAGGAGAAGGTCCGGGCCGTGCTGACGCTGAACGAGGAGTACGAGACCCGCTACCTGTGCTGCTCCGCCCAGGTGAGCACCCCCGGGGGCCGGGCTTGCCTCCCCTTGAAGGAATAAAAATGAAATAGAATAAAAAACATAACAAAAAATAACGTAAATTTAACAAAAATAACGTAAATATAACAGAAAATAACGTAAATATAACAAAAAATAATGTAAACATAACATAAAATAACATAAATATAACAAAATAATGTAAACATAACATAACGTAAATATAACATAACATAAATATAACAAAAATAACATAAATATAACAAAAAATAACAAATATAACAAAAAATAACAAATATAACAAAAAATAAATATAACAAAATAATGTAAACATAACAAAATAACAAAAAACATAAGCATAAAATAACATAACATAAAATAATAACATTAACATAACATAACGTAACATAACACAAAATAACATTAAATATCATAACATAAAATAAAATAACAATAAAAATAAAAGGGGGTTAAGCGCTCAAGGGGCTGTCTGTGACAGGAATGGCAGGCGCTGGGGGTGGAGCAGCTGCGGCTCAGCACCGTGGACCTGAGCGGGGCGCCCAGCCTGGAGCAGCTGCAGCGGGGCGTCGAGTTCCTGCTGAGGCACCGCGAGCAAGGTAACAGCGTCTATGTGCACTGCAAGGCCGGGCGGTCCCGCAGCGCTACCATGGTGGCAGCGTATCTCATCCAGGTGAGAAGGGTGCTCGTAGTCCGGGCACGCATGGCCAGCTTCTACAGCTTGGTTTGGCTCAAGAGCCCTGAGGTGCGTTGCCATCCCGTGATTGTACGGGGTTTGGGCTGGGCACGCATTTCAGGGGAGGTGGGCAGCCAGGCCCCAAGCTCACATCGCTCCCTGCTTCGTGGAACCTGGCAGACGCAAGATAAATCAACAAGTGAAGCTTTCATTCACTGAACAGAAGTCTAAACTCTCTTTCCTAATCTATTTTATCTCTGTACACCTTGTTCATCTGCACTTATGACATTTAAAAGTACTGGCAAAGATGTCCTGATCCTATGGGAAGGAGAAGCTGCTGTTGTGACTTCAAGAAGCTGTTCAGTCTCCTGACCCATTAACACAGCAAGTTCTGAACCCGTTTAGAATGCTTCTGAGATTCTTAATTCGTTCTAGGGCAGAACAGATGGAGATGGGAATAACAAGCTGCTTGTGACGATAGGTTCACTGAGCAGATAAGCCTCAGTTTTTGTTGTTTAGACTTCATGGTTATCTGAAACGATGTGCCACTCTGTGCCTTTCTATAAATACAATTCAGGAGCAAGAAAAATAGCTTTGGCTTTCTGAGTTCCACTACAGAGCCAACTAGGTAAACCAGCACTGAAAACAAAATCCCATTTGGGGATCCTACTGCTGGTGCTGTTCAGCACTCCCTTGGGAGGCCTTTCCATAATGACGCTCTAAGTGCTGAAGTACAATGCAGGTACTACTGAAGTTTTAATTAAAAAAAACTGCCCTTTTTCTCTGGTCTGGTGGGACTAGGACAGGAAACTACTCACAACATGAAGGAAGCATGAGCAAGGTAGAAAACCAAGGTCCAAGGCAGCAACCATCTCTCTAAGCGAGGAACTCGCTTCATGGACTTGTATTGACACTCAGGCCCTCCTGAGGAAGATGAAGTAACCAGAAGGGACAAAGTAGCAGGTTCTCTAACAACGCTAACATTGCCTGTAGCATCTAGAAAGGCTCCATTAAGCGGTGCAGGGGTGGAATGGATTTTCACTTGCAGGGTTTTTGCCTTTTCAGCTGCATCACTGGACGCCCCAGGAAGCAATAGAGGCTATTGCCAAGATCCGTCCCCACATCCTCATTCGTCGTAAACAAGTCCAGGTCCTGGAGGCATTTCACAGGAACATGATTGCTGGGACAACTGCAGAGGGTCAGTAAGAACTATCAAAATCTCAGTCTCGCCTCCTTTAAAGAAAACTTATGCCTTAATGAACTAACAAAGGCTTAGGTGCTGTACTTCTTGACCATCAATAAAGAAACTTTTACATAAATTACAGTAAATCTGGGCTGTTTCATTATAGCATCTTCTCTTATGACTTGTCTTTTCTCTGGGAGCCCCACAGATCTCTCCCATGCACAGCAGTAGCACTGAGCTGAACTGCAATCCACAGAAGGCTCTAAAATAGTTGCAGCAAAAGAAAAGAAAACTGTCTCAGCAGAGACTTTATTCAGATTCTTACCCAAAGGGTTACAGTGCCAACAGAGGGGTAGCAGGAAGTGGTCTTAGTTCCATCTGTCACCAACACTATGCTATGATTACAGGCAGGGATTCCCTGTACAGTAAAGGAAGCCAATGCTCATAAAAATGATCTCCCTCTTTATGCTGGGTGATGATAGAGCAGTAAGCAGATTCCCCGTTTGTTACCACTCCTCTAGAAGTGCTGCATAATGCAACCTACTCAGGGTCTTGGGGACAGCTCTGGAATCTGTCTGCTCTAAGTATTTCTGCCAGCCTCTCCTTCTGGAACAGGGACACAGGAACGTTTAAACGGGGACATCCCTGGAGGACAGACAGTGCACATCTCTCTGTGACTGACAATGGCAGCAACCCACAATCTCCCGGGCAGTTAAAACTAGCAGTCTGTGCCAAGGAGGATGTCGTCCATATGCTATAGGATTTGTTATCGGTGGATGGGTTCCAGGCTAAAAAAGCCACTTGCTGCAGTTTGGGCCTCAAACACAAGCAGCTTATCAACAAGGGATCACAGTAATAGCATTTAGTCCATCTGAAATCTAAGATGCATCAGTTCAACTTGAATAGTGCTATGTAAAAGGACAGGCCCACAGCTAGAAAGCCTGTACTCCCTCTGCACAGGTGTAAAGGATGGGTTCTTTACTGGATGTTGTGAACTCCTAATTATTGGGACTGGTACAGAGGGTGGCTGGGTGCCTCTGAGCTACACAACACCACTGCTGCCTTTTCTACCACTGGGCCTGTTTCTCCCCCTTTAGGCCAGGACAAACTGCAGGTTAGTGAGCAGCACTTTGATGCCGCTTGTGACCGTGACCACAGAGGTGGCTGGATTGAGTTTAAAAGTATTTGCATCGCCCTTTTTATAGCGGTCTCGAAAAACATAGATGCTGCCATTGCAGCTGGCAATCTTCCAGAGGGAGGGTACTGAGCTCCAGGCGTCTGGCAGGCACAGCCGGGTGAAGCTATCCAGCAGGGGATTATAGCACAGCAGCGAATCCCCCTCAGCTACGATGAACACCACATCCTTGTGGACGGCAGCATGCATGCGCCCCGCAAAAGGCAGTACGTATGGCTTCACGTGGCATTTCTCCGTGTTGGTATCGTAGCACTGAATAAGCCGAGAGGGCTTGGTGAAGAAGTCCAGGTCATTTTCCTCCCCGCCCAGCAGGTAAATGACACCGTTAAGGTTTACACCTGCAGCCCCTGAGACAGCCACTTCCAGCTGGCTGGTCTCTGTCCAGACATTGTCTCGTACTCTGTAATATATCACAGCGTTAGAGAGAGTGTCCTGCAGAGTCTTCCCCCCGAGGGAATATATTGCATCCTTGCTTGGTACAGAGACGAGTGTGTGTTGGAGCCTGTCACGGGGCAGGGGTGCGCACCACTCCCAGTCTATGGTGGCGTTGTTGCATTTCCACATGCGTCGTGGAATAGAGCCCCCGACAACATACAGGTCACTGCCATGCTTGCAGGCTGCGGTGATCTGGTGACACAGGCTGTTCTGGCCACTCACGCTGATGGAGTCATCATCAGCACAGTGCAGAGAGACAGCGAGTGAATGTGTACGTGATGACTCCTTTCCGATCAGGTAGATGTGAACATTTTCCCCAATCACCTAAGAGAAAGGAGGAGCTTGTCAACCTTACCACAATTAGGTCTGTTCACACTAATGTCAGCGATGCCCAAGACCGATTTTTTTCAGCATTTCAGGACCCACCTGCGAGCGTGAGGCATGCACTCTGCTTCCCAAGCCTTGCTACCCTAGAGCATTCAGAGCCTTTTCAAGACACCAGCCATATCTGACAGCAAAGCAGCAACAGACTTCATTGGAATCCGAGTGACTGCAGTTTAGTTAAGGGTTGGCCACCTCACTGATAGAGTACTTATTATGAGGGGAATGCCAAAGTAAGATTTCCGCATGGTCTCTCAGATAACAGTATCTGGTGAAATGCGTTATTTGTGGCATTGCCCTAATCGCTAACAAAAACAACCTCAGGTTAAAATCAAAAAAGCTGTCAGTGGGGTTGCTATTTATAACAGTGAGAGTATCCCTCATGCAAACCTTGTGAATTTCAATGGTGTTTGTGTTTTGCGGCTTTCAAGTCGCACCTGCAAGCAGAATATACCCTGCCTTGGGAAGTACAACACCAGCAAATGCTACACCAGCCTGGAACAGAAGGTCTTTTTATACCTTCAGACTTGATCGCAGTGTCTCTGAAAAGCCTGCTCGCTCCTCCTTGTTGAAGTTGATCCAGGTTTCTATGGCAGCCGTCGGATTCTGAGAACACGGAACGCCATCTGCGGTTTGGGGACAGAAAGAAATTTATGGTATCTAGACACAGGTGCGTGTACCTAAGAAAATCCTTTCCTGCAACTCCCTCACCCCCTCCTGCCACAAACCATACCCTGTAGAGGAGGAAAAAAAGATACAAAGGTTTATAGATTTTGGCAGGCGTGATCAGCACTGCCAGCCAGGCATCTACATGAAATTTGCTTGGTTAAATATCAGAAGACAGAGCTGTCAGATTTCAAGCATTTTGGATGACTTTCAACAAAGGAAGCTATGTCAAAGAGAAAGAGGGCAGGGAAGAGCCCTTACATGCTTTGAGATGATAAAAAAAAAATAGTAACGTAATTAAGCATGTAGGTAGAAAGATTCTCTTATTTGAAAATGAAAATTTCAGCAGTTGCATTTCTTGGCTCATTGGCTAGTCCTAGAAACTCATCTAGCAAAGGTCATCTGCAGAAATTGTTCTTCTCTGAGCACTGTCAGACAGCTGACCCTCAAGACTGAACATCTGTGTTGCTGCTTTCCTGTCAACATTTGGAAATCCCCTGTGAGCTACTACAGCTTTCTTTAGTAGTGTGACAGTAGGAAACACTTATGTTTAACTGACTGCATCAGATTTCGATTTGTTTCCAGGCATAACTGGAAGTTTTAGCTATGCCATAAACTATTGCAGCAGCAGCACATTACCTAGAAGATTTTAAGTGCTTCCTTCTAGTTTGAAAGTCAGCTAGTTGCCCTAACACCAGCAATTATGCCTGTACTCATTGAGAGGCTTCCCTTTAAAAAGGTTCTCCGATTTCGTCATCCAACAAACCCTGAATTCAGCGATGCTGAAGGCATCTGACAAATTCTGACCCTTTTCTCCATACTGGAAGGAAGGAGGAAAGGGGGGTGGGAGGGGCAGGGAGAGAAAGCAGGTTATTTTGAATCTGTTCAATAGTAAAATTGATTTCCATAAGCTGTTTATCAGATGTAGTGGTTAAATGGAAAAACTTTGATTTTGAAATGGGTCCCTGGGCGCAACAGAAGGCAAGCTTAATAAATTACCATCTTCATAAAGTTTATTTTAATCCTTGCTACTAATAGCTTCCTCTATTTAATTGTCCATTAACTAGACAAAGCAGCAGCACTTCCAAAAGATTTTCCCTACCAGCAGTAGGAGTGTATTTCAGCTCTTAATCCATTAATCCATTTTCATGGACCAAGTTTCGCCATAAATATTGAGTAACATGATTCTATATACGGAAATAGGTGATGCATAGAAAAAAAATTCTTAAGCAATTATTTTAATTAAGGACCACAAACACTGAAGGCCAAAGTCCTGAAACTATGATTACTACATGGTATCACAATGAGGAAGAGTTAAAGCTGTAAGAGGTCAGTCACCCATTATTTAATCATTTTGGGGTTTTAGTGAAGTCACAACTTTGCTTAAAATTTTAGCTATGTATAGCTTTGATTGCGAATTTCTTTAGTTGCAAAACAAATACTGCAATTGAGTATCTGTAAAGACTCCCATAGGCATAACCTCAACTTTAGAGGATACTTTAGGTCTTATGGGGAGATTTGCCAGTGTTCCAAGGAAGACGGTTACAGGAGGTTTATCACTGTAACAGCATATAAACCACTGACACACAAACTATAGCAATTTACTTGTTCACTGAATTATTTTTTAATTAAAGCAAGAAAGGGGGAGTCTCTCCAGTCTCGAGTCCGGCACATTGGACTGTATGAGCTTCTCCTACGCTCTTGCTTCCTCTAGCAATGATATAGAAACATGGAAAAATGGAGTAGTGACTGAAGCATCATGAAGAGGTTTTATAGTGCTGCCTGTGTATAAGGGCAGCAGTAAACCTTTAAGCAGTGGTGTCAGACAAAGCAAGCTGTTAATATGTTGACACATCCTCCACAACACTAAGTCATTGCATCCATTACCATGGAAGACTATTAGCTTTACATTAAGAGTAATTACTGTATTACCCAAGATGTTACACTGCCTCTATTTCAGTCAGCTGACTGCCTAGCCTAAATAATCCTAACAATTATGTAAAATTGTTAATAACACTAACATAGTCTAGAAAGGTAGCCTGTGCTCAAGACTTCTTACAGATGTTGAGTCATTGCATTACAATGTTAAATGATTAAGAATTACAACAGAAGAAAAAGATGTTCTTAAGGTGTTCATTTTGGAAATGCTTCTTCGTTTACTTTTAATGCAAACAAAAATTGTTAGAAGTTATTAAACTACATTAAAAAATGTAATATTTCCAGTCTGTTAGCTCAGGAACTGCTGGGAATTACCAGCATCCTCTATCTCCATTTTCTGTACCATAGATCCTGACAGGTCTATAGCATGTCCACTAACAATTTATGGTGTTGTGGTGTTTTGTTTTTTCTAATTCGGTTATCCAGAATATTTTGCCTTGCTTAGCTAAGCTTCTGAATAGGCAGTGACTGTGAAAGCTTGTATCTTTCCATCTGTTTTGATCAATCCGTGCTAGACTCTCAGGCT